GATGCCAGGGTCCATTCACAACAGAGCCTGTAACGCTCAATACCAAAAACAAAAAGTCTCCCGGCAGCATGTGCAAATTAGCAATGTATTTGCATTTACAAGGATATAAAATGTAAGTAATGAAAGAGGAAGACGGATTCTTCTGCAAATCAGAGAAGATAATTTCTAAGGAAATTTGTAATAGGTATTTTCTACATTCAGAAATACTTTTCTTGATTCCAAATAAAGAAAACATTTAAAGAGAAAATAGGGAAATGGGGTCTTCCCTTTACACTGTAGGAAACCACAGTATGTAAGAATTAAGAACCGGCACACACATACACAAAAAAAGCATCCCATCTTCAGTCAGACACGGTCCAGAGAGCCCATGTTTAGTTTTGATTTTCACTTCCCATACTCTCTGAACTCCTCGAGGACAGGGACCCTACATAAATGCTTGTTAAATGAATGCTTTAAAGATGTGCCCTGTCTGTAAAGCAGGGGTGAGAGTGCCTACTTCGTGGGTCTATTAGGAGGACACGTGCGTTAATGCGGGCAGAGGGTGCAGCATAATATAAATGGGGACTAAGTCACAATTATTGCTATGAACTTCAGGCACCTCAGTTTCTTTTAGAGGAAAAAGAAAGACCTTCTCATACTCCAGGTTTTCAATTTTCTTTTTTCCTCCCAACAGAGTATTGCTATATGAAATGGAACTATTAAGAGTTTGGGCCTTTTGAGTTCACAGTCTATCTGTGGCTATATAAAGTCAGCTGGCATTATTCTGAATCCCATCTTTGATAGCAGCCAGAAGTGCGTGAATTGTCATCATAAGACTCTCAGCAAGCACTGGCAGATTACGTGTTCAGAGAACAATAAAAAATGTTCACATATCATGCCCTCTTGATCATCGTTACTTTGTTCCATATAAACCTCAAAGGTGGTTCCCCAAGACTGGTCTCTATGGGAGGAAGGAAGGGGGAAACGAAGAAACATAAAAAATAAAATAGGAAGAATATGAGCAGCTGTAACTTGCAGAAAGCACCAAATTTTCTTTTGTAGGAAAATTATGTTTAATGCATGAGGAGCCAGACCCTGGCTTGTGGTTGGGTGGGTGTCTTCCCTCTGAGGAGGTCCTTGGTGAGCCACCTCTGGGGGCTCCCTCTCTGGCCTGCCACCTGGGAGAGGAACGGATCTTGGTTAAGGGCAAAGGTTATCGTTCATACCTGGGGATACTTTCCCAGGGGCACAGCTGCAGCCCGTGAAACTCTGCTCTAACAGTTTGTTTCCTCATTTTTAAAGTGGCATAGAATGTGCCACTATAGAAGAAAAATTCTCTACCTGAAACCATCAGAAGCTCAGTGGGAATAAAGCATCTGGAAAAGTCACAGAGGGGGTCAAAAAAGGCTCTTTCTTCTGTGGCCATAGGGGGTTTATTGTTGCTGGTGCCCAAAATGGAAAAGGAACAGCAGGAGATTAATAATTGAAATGTTGCTATTATTGGTTTTCTAAACTATTTGTGGGTTAGTCTTTCCCTGGAGTCATCATGTCTGTAAGCAGCTCAAAAGATAGAGGGATTTAACACGTCCTGAGAAAACGTCTACTACAGCCAGGGACTTAACATACACTTGTTTTCAATGGGGTCCTCAGACAATCCAGTAAGACTTAAAAAAAAAAATTAATAAAGCTCAGAGAAGTTAAGTAACATGCCCAAAGGCATACAGCCAGATTCAAACCCGAGATTTCTCTGATTCAAGTATTATACCATACCACCTGGAATTGAGGACACAATTCATGAGCCTTGATTCACTACTCAAATGCAGTGAGAACGAAAACAATATTTATACTTACTCATTTTAAAAATATAAAGCATAAACACAGGAAAAGATATTTTAGAACATGTGTCATCAAATTCTTTTAATGGAAGATGATTCAGAATCCATTTCTTGGTAGGTATCTTGGTAGGTGTCTTCAGGCCCATCTGATGATAGATTTCAGCATTATAGTTTTGGGGAGCCTCACTGTGTAAGCCAATACTAATCGACAAGGCACATCTCAGGTACAGTGGAACAGAAATAACTTGGAACTTAGGGTCCTCTCATTCAGAGCCCGTGGCAATACAGACCTTTGAGGCTGGCCTTTGCACTACATATTGAAAAAACCCTTGCTAAGCAAGTTGATGGAGTAAACACAATTGCAAGGCGAATATTTAACCTTCTAAAGAAAATAAACCTTTTTAAAGAAGTTTAACTTCATCAGTACCAAGCCACTGAAAACTATGCGCTATTTGTAAACCTATCCTTAAAAGCAAGTTGTGGAAGACTGATTACACTTTGCTGCCCATTAATTCGTATTATCAAACATTCCCTGTTTCAAAGACAGCACTTCTCTCTAAATATCCAGCAGTTCAGACTGCTCCACTAATGCATTCAGGCCTTCACCCAGTATCCCAACCGGGGGCAGCTGCACCCCGTTTAAACAAATGAGTACACTCCGGAATTCCAGCTGAAACGCCTCACCTGTCATTATACTTCTCCCGAGGAAAACCCCATGATCGATTTTTTAGTAGCTGGAAAACTATTAGAAATCACTCTTCTTGGAGCCTTCCACAGGAAAAGCCCTGCCTCTTCAGGACACACAGGGAGTCCATGTGTTCTGACTGGGATGTGGTAAAAATCAGGTTCCCTGAATCCAGCGGATGTCGCCAAGGCGGGAAAAAGGAGGTCACTGGAGTCTTAGAAGCTCTCACGACAGTAAGTGAATGCACGTTCCAGCAGCACAACCCTTGATTAGACAGGTCACCTGTCTGTTCTAGAGCATGACCAACAGTCTCTTTCAAAAAGACCCAAGGCTGGGCTTGTGCAGAGTGATGCTGGACTGGGTGAGGAGGGGCGAGGAGAAAGACTAGGAAACGAATTATAAAGATGCACAGAGAAACTCGAGGAGAAGCGAAAGCTTTAAAGAGAGCACGCAGACAAGACAGGGAAAGAAACCCAGGGCTGAAAAGGTGACCAGGTAGGTCACCTAGGACAGGGAAGGCTTGCAAATAAAACCAGTGCGCTCCGGAGACCTTCCAGAGCCATGATTATTCTGAAACCATAACGCCTTACACATCCACAGTGCTTTATCTGGTGTAATACACTCCAAGAATACAGAAGTAGGAACAGGAGTGCCAAGTCTTCGCCTCGGGGGCATGGCCTACATTCCATATGGATTTTGAATGAAAGGAACAGGAGAACATCACAGTTCCCAAGATGGCTTTCTACAGAGTTGACAAAATACATCCCGACCCACATACCCAGCCCCTTGTGAAAGGGAAAGCAGCCGTTGACTATAGTTCTGAATTCAATGCCAAGTTCCCTCTCTAATGCTCACCCTGAGTGTCCAGCAGAGGGAGTCTCAAGGAGGTACTTAATAAAGAGAAAATTGTTTCATTTTAACACTCCATAGACAGTGGGAGCATTGACTGTAGCCCCCTCCCATAGACACAGACGAACAATGAATGCCCGACATGGGTTCTCTGAGCCTGTTCACAGAGCCACTGGCTCCTTCTGGTCTGTGTAGTGGAGTGATCAGAAATTTCGTTTTGTTTTGTCAAATGGTTAAATGGACCTTGTGTTCTTCAGAATCAAAGAGGAAAGCCCCTGGAATAACATCTCTCTGTTGCCTTCTAAACAGCTCCTTTGTTTCTGAGAGAGTCTGAAAAAAAATATTTACAGTCTATAGGTTATTTACAGCCTCGTTACCCAGGGCCTGACTGGTAACTTTATTCCATCCAGAAACCTAATTCATTTGGAGCCCTAGAACTAATAACAGATTTTCTTTTCAGATAAGTTTTTTTTTTAATCTGCTTCTTATAACAGAGATAAAACTATTAATGCGTTCCCTGTCTCACTCGCCTCGACTGTTCTCCGGATTTATAGAAGGATTAAAATCTCCCCTCCGCACCCCTCCTCGCCGTTCCACACAAACCCTTTCCCCTCCTTTGCTATTTCACCCACAGAATATCTGAACAAAACCGAAAGAAAGCCAGATGGACTGACGCTAAAAGTATGTAAAGCTGCTATTTCAATGATTTCATGAGAAAAACATTTTCACGATTGAAATGACTGGAATATCAGGCACACTTTGGTTTAAAATTCCTCCTACTACAAGCACACAAAAACACACCGAAGTGTAAAAACTTAGTTGATTCTGGGTTGATTTCTGGCTGGAAGCTGACAGAACTGACTGAAGAGAAACGAAAGAGAGAAGGGAGAGTGAGGCGAATGCGGGGCTCCGGTCTTCCGTTCTCTCCTTTCTTCCTAGAGACAGTCACATCAGAAGAATGACCCCACGCCAGGTGAAGGTGCACACGGCAGGTTTGCCCAGACCGACGGAGAAAAACGTCTTGGCCGCCTCCCCGACTTGAAAACCTAAACTACATCTTCCCTTACACACGCTAATGCGGGGAGATCGTAGCCTATTGCATTGTTCTGGCTGGGTCTGAAATGCACTTTTCCTCTCTGCCCCCTCTCATCACCTAGCCCCAGACGTTCCGATTCGACAGCCCCCCCAAACCAGAGGCTCGCCAAGAATAAAGGAGTGTGGGGTGGGAGAGGAAGGCAACGGAAAGGGGAGCTGTGAAGCCAGAGTGCAAAGGAGATAATCCTAATTTTTTTGGAGGGGGGTGCAGGATCAAAGCCAACCGCATCACCTTTATTTATTGCAAATAAATAAAAAGCACAGTCATGGATCTCTCTCTTCCCAGGCGCCCCCTCCCAATCTCTTTTCTTCGGGCAGTAGCCCACCCTCGCACCCCCCGCCCCCCTTCTCCACCCTGGAAATAAGATCCCGTGAAATTCCGGATCCTGGTCGTTTCTGGGCAGGGGAGGGGGCGGCGGGGAGGGGTCGGAGCCGGGGAGAGCCCGGGGGTGGGGCGCCGGGGCTGCGGGCCGGGGGTGCCGGCGAGGGGCCGCGGGCAGAACAAAGCTGCGGGGCCGGGCGGCCGGGGCGCGGGGGCGGCGGGCCGGCGCCCTTACCTTCGTACACGGGGGCCATCGGGGCCGGGGTGTCCGCGATTCATGGCAACGGAGAAGGGAACGCGGCGCGCGGTCTCGGCCCCCCCAGCCTCAGTCGGCATCTGCCATCTTGAGCCTGTGTCTCCGCTCTCGGCGCAGCCCGGGCCGCCAGCGCCCGCATCACCGCCTCGCTCGGCCGGCGCGGGGGAGGGGGTCCGGAGGATGCGTGGGGGAGGTGGGGGA